AAAATTCTCCTAATTCCAATATCTGTTGTGAATCTACATCACTTCTGTGTGGGAGAAACACTTTGGAGTTTGAAGATAATATTGAAACTATTATAATTGGATCTTTTTAGGTATTGTTCATTTTTACTTGTCAAAAACACACAAAATATTATCAATTTTTTTGTTGTTGTTGTTGAGACAGAGTCTCACTCTGTCGCCCAGGCTGAGGTGAAGTGGTGGGATCTTGGCTCACTGCAACCTCCGCCTCCTGGCTTCAACCGATTCTTTTGCCTCACTGTGTTGGCCAGGCTGGTCTCAAAGTCCTGACCTCGTGATCCGCCCACCTTGGCCTCCCAAAGTCCTGAGATTACAGATGTGAATTACTGCACCTGGCTCATTATCAAATATTTTTTAATATTCTGTTTAGTCCTATTAATTATATTTATAATGTCATGCAGCATACCCCTAGAATGTTTTATCTTGCAAAGCTCAATCTCAATGTACAACAACAACCAGTTTTTCTGATTTTCTGGCACTTTGCAAAAACCACTTTGTTTTCTATTTCTAAGAATGTGACTGCCCCATATGTCTCATACAATCTCTGTCTTATTGTGGCTAGCTCATTTTATTTTGCATAATGTCATCAAGCTTTATTTTTAGAGTTGTTAGAATATTTCCTGCTTTTTAAATCCTGGGTGATATTCCAGTATTTTTATATTGCAAATTATATCTATTGGATAATTTGGTGACAGAAATTTCCATTTCTGCCGGGTGCAGTGGCTCATTGCTGTAATCCCAGTACTTTGAGAGGCTGAGGCAGGCAGATAACAAGGTCAAGAGATCAAGACCATCCTGGCCAACATGGTGAAATCCTGTCTCTACTAAAAATACAAAAAATAGCCGGGCATGGTGGCACACACCCATAGTCCCAGCTACTCAGGAGGCTGAGGTTGCAGTAAGCTGAGATCGTGCCACTGCGCTCCAGTCTGGGCAGCAGTGCAAGACTCCATCTTAAAAAAAAAAAAAAAAAAAGAAAGAAAGAAATTTGCATTGCTTTTACCTATTGCCTTTCAGTAAAAATGCTGCAATAATTATGGATATGAAAATAACTCTTCATATAACCATATATGTGAAAGTTTCTATAGCTGCAGCATTCTATTTTATTAGTCTACTTTTATACTTATACCAAATTACTTTAATTCTGTAGCTTTGTAATGTGTTTTGAAATCAGGAACTATAATGCCTTCAACATTTTCTTTTTTTGAAGACTCTTGGGTACTTTATTGTCTCTTGACATTTTATATACTTTTGGGGTTGTTGTTTCTGTTTCCTCAAAAATGCAATGAGAATTTTTGGTTTTGTTTTTTGTTTTTTGGTTTTTTTTTGAGACTGAGTCTCGCTCTGTCGCCCAGGCTGGAGTGCAGTGGCCGGATCTCAGCTCACTGCAAGCTCCGCCTCCCGGGTTCACATTCTCCTGCCTCAGCCTCCCGAGTAGCTGGGACTACAGGCGCCAGCCACCTCGCCCGGCTAGTTTTTTGTATTTTTTAGTGGAGACGGGGTTTCACCATGTTAGCCCATGTTGGGATGGTCTCGATCTCCTGACCTCGTGATCCGCCCGTCTCGGCCTCCCAAAGTGCTGGGATTACAGGCTTGAGCCACCGCGCCCGGCCGCAATGAGAATTTTTTAACAACATTGCATTAAATCTGTAGATTACTTTGAGAAGTATGGACGTTTTCAAAATATCAATGATTTCTACCTTTGAACAGGAGCATGCTCAAGAGTGTGTCATTTAATTTCCATGTATTTGTAAATTTTTAATCTTTTTCTATTATTGTTTTATACTCTCATTCCATTTTGTTCATATAATATAATCCACACAATTTCAGTCTTAACAAATGTGTTAAGACTTCTTTTTTGGCCTACCATGTGGTCTATTAAGCAGAATGTTCTATGAGCAATTAAGAAGCATGTGTATCCCGATATTGTTGAGGAGACTTCTCTATACCTCTGTTAGAAATAATAGTTTTGGCCGGGCGCGGTGGCTCACGCCTGTAATCCCAGCACTTTGGGAGGCCGAGGCGGGCGGATCACAAGGTCAGGAGATCGAGACCATCCTGGCTAACACTGTGAAACCCCGTCTTTACTAAAAATGCAAAAAATTAGCCGGGCGAGGCGGCGGGCGCCTGTAGTCCCAGCTACTCGGGAGGCTGAGGCAGGAGAATGGCGTGAACCCGGGAGGCGGAGCTTGCAGTGAGCCGAGATCGCGCCACTGCACTCCAGCCTGGGCGACTAAGCGAGACTCTGTCTCAAAAAAAAAAAAAAAAAAAAAAAGAAATAATAGTTTTATACTGCCTTCAAGTCCTCTCTTCACTTACAAATATTCTGTTTTGTTTTATTTTTATTATGGAAAGTAAGTTATTGAAATGTTCTACTATAATATTGCTTTCTAGGTGATTCTTCCATTCTGTCAATATTTGCTTTATGTATTTGGAACCTTAATGTGAGATACACACACACACACACACACACTTGAGTTACGTTATCAGTAAATGAATCTATTATTGTTTAATGTCCTTCTTTGTCTCTTTGCAGTTTTGATTTGTAGTACATTTTATAAATATGAAAGTTTTTCACTTAAGATGTACCTTATGTAATATTATTTTAACCTCTTCTCTCATTTGGTTAATATTTTTATGCAATATCTATATCCATCTTGCCACTTTTTTTTTTTTTTTAATCAATAGATCTCAGCTTACTCTCATAGAAAGGCAAGTTGGATATCGGTTTTTAAAATATTTAAATAAATCTCTATTGAGAGTATGTCTGTTGATTGAAAAGTTAAAGATATATATTTAAATAATCTTCTGAAGCAGAAAGACATAGTAATGTTATTTTATTCATTGCTTTATTTGATTCTTATATCTTGGTCACTCATTTTTTCTCTGTCTTTGTGTCTTTTTATTTTTATATTGATATGCTTTTACTTCTTTCTTATTTTGTTTCATTTATCTATACGCATATGTTCTTCTTGGGACCTTGGGGATTATATAAACCTCCAAAAGATACAACAGTATATTTCAATCTGGTAAAAAGGAACTTCAGTTGCATGCACAATTTTTTTCTCATTACATCTCCCCTCAAATTTGTCATTGATTTTGCTAATTGTATCTTTTTATGTGGTATATTTATTAACAGATGTTTATAATGATTTCTGTGATTTTCTCTTTCAAATTTTAGGGAATAATTAAAAATGTTTTCTGCACCATTATGATAATGCTAAGAAATTCCATTTTGGTGTATGTGCATATACTTAGAAGTAAAAGTATATATGTGCATATAATCTTTCCAGAAAATAATGTAATTTTTTGTTATTGTGGGGTTTTTTGTGTTTGTTTTGTTTTTATTTCATTTTTTCTTTTATTATTATATTTTTAAGTTCTAAGGTACATATGCACAATGTGCAGGTTTGTTACATATGTATACATGTGCCTTGTTAGTGTGCTGCACCCATTAACTCATCATTTATATTAGGTATTTCTACTAACGCTATCCCTCCCCACTCCCAAAAGTAATGTATTTTTATTTGACTATGTGTTGTTTTTGTTGAATCATGTTATTTTCAATAGAAGCAACTGCTTTCAATACTTTTTATATGTAAGGTTTATGGAGTTCCAATATACTTTTCAGAATTTTGTTATTTTTGAAAGTTTTTTCTTTTTATTTGGCAGGACAGATTTGCTGATGGTATTATGCTTACTTGATCACTGTATTTTTCAAGAGTTTGACTTTATCACACACTTCCCTTCTGGCCTGCAAAATTTTTGTTGACAATTCACTGGCTGTCTCATAAGACTGCTTGCAAATGACGCATCACTTTTGTCTTGCAGCTCCCAAGATTCTCTTCTGGTCTGTGACTTTTGAAATTGTGCTTATATGTGTGTTTGTTATAAATATCTTTGTGTGTTTCCTAGTTTGTTTGTTGAGCTTCTTCATTTGTACATCATTGTTTCTTTCGAGATTTTTCAGCTATTCTTTTTTATATTTATTACCTCCACAATTTGTTTTTTTGATATTCTAAATATTTATGTTCTTCATTTTTCTGATTTTCTATAGTTCTCTGTCTTCCTATTTCACTTATTGAGTATTATTCAATTTATTTTCAATTTTTAAAATCAATGCATATACTTTTTTATGGTTTCTTTTTGAAAATTATATTTTTATGGAACCATATTGCCTTATTTTGTGTACATTGTAATCTTTGATTGAAATTTGGAAATTAAAAAAGGCTACCTGTTACAATCTTCATAATGTAGCTTTGTCCTGGCATGGTCTGAACAATTGTCTTGGTTAGAGATTCTGGGAGTCTCTCAAACATGTTCTTAGAATGTGTCTTGTCTGAAATTTTGTCTTATTTTTTAGTTAAAGGAGTTTATTCATGTTTCTTCTTAATAGTAATCACGTGCTATGCCTGTTTTCTTTCTGTGGTACAGCAGTCTCTCTGTTGCTGAAACATTTACCTTTGGTCTCAGCAAACTTAAACTGTCACTCCAAAACATACCACCATTTCTTTCAGCACTATATTTCGTGAGAGATACACACCAGTGTCCGGAAAGGCTCCTAGAAGCAAGTAATAAAGATAAATGTGCCAGTGTTTTACTTGTCATTAAAAAGTTGGCAATTTGCTTCTAAAGACACTATGTTATATTGGGGAGCAGGAAGAGCTGTGTTGGGTAAATGTAACAGATTTTGACTTCTAAGTGGCTCTTTGCATTGTTCTCACCAGGGCACTTCACACACTTAACTCATTTATAAATTTTTTTCAGATGTAATTTGGTTGGTATGTTTTTTTGTTGGTTTTTTTTTTTTTTTTTTTTACATTTATATGTCTATAAAGGAATGAGGGCCTTTGGTATTTTCCTATGCCATCTTATTTATATAGTTTGTATAGTATTATAGGTTAGACTTGTAAACTGTATTTATCTGTGTCTAGTAGGTAATTTGTTATTTTTATCTCTTTCAGTTATATGTTCTCATTTTGCCCAAGACCTTTGGCCAGAGCGGGACATTAAAGATTCTTTTCAAGAATCGATACTGAAAAAATATAGAAATTATGAACATGACAATTTACAGTTACAAAAAGGCTGTAAAAGTGTGGATGAGTGTGAGGTGCACAAAGAAGATAACAAATTAAACCAGTGTTTGATAACTACCCAGAGAAACATATTTCAATGCGACCCATATGCAGAAGTCTTTCATACATTTTCAAATTCAAACAGACATAAGACAAGACAACCTGGAAAGAAACCTTTCAAATGTAAAAAATGTGAGAAATCATTTTGCATGCTCTTACACCTAAGTCAACATAAAAGATTTCATATTACAGAGAATTCCTACCAATGTAAAGATTGTGGCAAAGCCTTCAACTGGTTCTCAACCCTTACTACACACAGGAGAATTCATACCGGAGAGAAACCCTACAAATGTGAAGAATGTGGGAAAGCATTTAACCGGTCCTCACACCTTACTACACATAAGATAATTCATACTGGAGAGAAACCATACAGATGTGAAGAATGTGGCAAAGCCTTTAACCGGTCTTCACACCTCACTACACATAAAAGAATTCATACTGGAGTGAAACCCTACAAATGTACAGAATGTGGCAAAGCTTTTAACCGGTCCTCACACCTTACTACACACAGGATAATTCATACTGGAGAGAAACCCTACAAATGTGAAGAATGTGGCAAAGCTTTTAACCAATCCTCAACCCTAACTACACATAAGATAACTCATGCTAGAGAGAAACCCTACAAATGTGAAGAATGTGGCAAAGCTTTTTACCGATTCTCATACCTTACTACACATAAGATAAGTCATACTGGAGAGAAATTCTACAAATGTGAAGAATGTGGCAAAGGCTTTAACTGGTCCTCAGCCCTCACTAAACATAAGAGAATTCATACTGGAGAGAAACCCTATAAATGTGAAGAGTGTGGCAAAGCCTTTAATGAGTCCTCAAACCTTACTACGCATAAGATGATTCATACTGGAGAGAAACCCTACAAATGTGAAGAATGTGGCAAAGCTTTTAACCGGTCCTCACAACTAACTGTACATAAGATGATTCACACTGGAGAGAAACCTTACAAATGTGAAGAATGTGGCAAAGCCTTTAACCGGTGCTCACAACTAACTGCACATAAGATGATTCATACTGGAGAGAAGCCCTACAAATGTGAGGAATGTGGCAAAGCTTTTAACCGATCCTCAAACCTTAGTAAACATAAGATGACTCATACTGGAGAGAGATCTTACAGATGGGAAGAATGTGGTAAAGCCTTTAACCAGTCCCTGAGCCTTATTAAACAAAATAACTCATACTGGAGAGAAACCCTACAAATGTGAAGAATGTGGCAAAGGCTTTAGTCCTAAACTCTTACTAAACATAAAAAAATTCATACTGGAGTGTGAAGAACATGGCAAAGCCTTTAATAAGTTCTCAATTCCTAATAGATGTAAGATAATTCATACTAGAGATAATTCATACTAGAGAGAAATTCTACAAACCAGAAAGATGTGACAGTACTTTGAAAACACCTCAAACTTTTCTAAACATAAAGGAAATCACAGTGGTGAGAAATCCTAGAAATGTGAAGAATTTGATAAAGCTTTTAAATGGTTGTCACACTTGATTGTAGGTAAGATAATTTATACTGGAGAAAACTTCTACACGTGTGAACAACGTGGCAAAACTTTTAACCAATGCTCACACCTTACTGCATAGGAAAGCATTTATACTTGAGAAAGATTGTACAAATATAAAGACTGTGAAAAAGCCATTAATACATGCTCACATCTTACTCAACATCAGAGAGTTCCTACTTAATAAAAACATTATAAGGCCAACTACTGTCAAAATATCTTTAAGAAAATATAAGCCTTGGCCGGGCGCGGTGGCTCAAGCCTGTAATCCCAGCACTTTGGGAGGCCGAGACGGGCGGATCACGAGGTCAGGAGATCGAGACCATCCTGGCTAACACGGTGAAACCCCGTCTCTACTAAAAAACAAAAAACTAGCCGGGCGAGGGGGCGGGCGCCTGTAGTCCCAGCTACTCAGGAGGCTGAGGCAGGAGAATGGCGTGAACCCGGGAGGCGGAGCTTGCAGTGAGCTGAGATCCGGCCACTGCACTCCAGCCCGGGCGGCAGAGACTCCGTCTCAAAAAAAAAAAAGAAAATATAAGCCTTTAAGGTGAAGAGTATTTTGAAGAAGAACATTGTAGTAGGATTGTAATATGTTTACTTGTATCACAGATCTTACTGTACACATTTTGTATTAGAGGAAACCTCTGAAGCAATTGCTCAAACTTTGTTCAGTATCAGGGAATTTATATTGAAAAAAAAACCTTGCAAATGTAATACATTTGGAAAAATACTTTTTCAAAAACTACAGCTTAGAAAACACGAGAGAGTTCATACTAAAACATTTTTGCAGATACAGTAAAAATTTTTTTAATTTTTAATCAAAAATTAAATCTATGTAAATATCAGAATTTACAGTAGAAATATATAAGGCACTGACACTTCATATATTATACTAAATCAGAGTGCTGAGTAAAGAAAAACTAAAATTTGTTAAAAAATGATTTGTATATATAGGCCGGGCGCGGTGGCTCAAGCCTGTAATCCCAGCACTTTGGGAGGCCGAGACGGGCGGATCACAAGGTCAGGAGATCGAGACCATCCTGGCTAACACGGTGAAACCCCGTCTCTACTAAAAAATACAAAAAACTAGCCGGGTGAGGTGGCGGGCACCTGTAGTCCCAGCTACTCGGGAGGCTGAGGCAGGAGGAGAATGGCCTGAACCCGGGAGGCGGAGCTTGCAGTGAGCTGAGTTCCGGCCACTGCACTCCAGCCTGGGCGACAGAGCAAGACTCTGTCTCAAAAAAAAAAAAAAAAAAAAAAAAAAAAAGATTTGTATATAACTTGAAAAGTAGTAGAAGTTTTTTTGCAGATATTACATTCAAAGTATGCTTAACTTTTTGAAAAAATATTTTGAAAAGTGAATAATGATGTAATTCAGCTCTCAAATTATTTGCTGCTGTTTCTTCATTCCTATTTACATGTGAAAGCATGTGATCAATTGTTGCTGCATCAAAGATATGAGAGATTCTTTCTTATTAGGTGAGCATTATTTATAAACTTTGTTATGAAAAAGTAAGGACATTAAAATGTAAGATGTATGATGAAAATCGTACAAAAGTGAAGAGACTTTTGTGGTTAACTTATAATATTGAGTAATGTGTGTGTTAGGTGTTCAGAGCAATGTTCTGCATTATGAGAAGAAAACATTTTAAATTTCATTTATAAGTAAATTAAAATTTAGTATATTGTACTAATTATACTTTTATATAAAATGCAGTGTATTTTTTTAAATTTCAGATTATATGTGATGTTAATATATTCAACCTTTTTAACATGTTAAATACTATTGTGCATTCAATGAAGTGTTATTATGTCACAAACCTTAACCTATTCCTCCTTACTCAAGGGTGCACATAAAACATGGTAACAATATATATACTGTTTGGTAACATAATGGATTAACATCTCTAGTAATCTCTTTTGCCAGTGGCTTTGACTGCAAATAAGTTAAAGAATATTACTTCTGTAGGTTAAAATTTTGTTTTTATTTTATTTATTTATTTTTTTTTGAGAGGGAGTCTTGCTCTGTCTTCCAGGCTGGAGTGCAGTGGCGTGATCTTGGCTCACTGCAACCTCTGCCTCCTGGGTTCAAGCAATTCTACCTCAGCCTCCCAGTAGCTGGGATTACAGGTGCCCACCACCATGCCCAGCTAATTTTTGTATTTTAGTAGAGATGGGGTTTCATAATGTAAGTCAAGCTGGTCTCGAACTTCTGACCTCAAATGATCCCCCCACCTCGGCTTCCCAAAGTTCTGGGATTACAGGCATGAGCCACTGTGCCCAGCCAAATGTTTATTTTATTTAAATTTATTTTTCTTATTTGGGGTATATAATATGAGTATATATTCATGCAATATATAGCATATTTTGATACAAGAATATAGTATATAATAATCACATCAGGGTAAATGAGGTATCCATCACCTCTAGTGTTTTTCTTTTGTATTACAAACAATCCACTTTTATACTTTTAGTTATTTTAACATGTACAATTGTTATTGATTACAGTGTTATTTTTATGGTCATAATAAATTATGTAGAAGTATAAATAAAATCCATGCATTTCTGGGTCCTGAATAAATATTTTTAAAGTTTTCTAATATTTATTTTTTGAGCATGTTTCCTGTCTGCCTGCAAACACATGCAGACTTTTAGTTTTCATTTACGTAGAGTTAAATATATGTTAGTCTAAAGATAAACCTTAGGTGTAAGAAAATTATAGAGTGAGTTTGTGTGTATGAATTTATACCTGTTTTCAGAAGACAAAAGCAATATTGAACAAAACAAATCATTTTAACAAGATGACTACTAGAAAACTAAAAACCTCAAAAATGCTGAAAGCAAATGTATTCTCTGCTTTGTATTAAATTTATTACTGTACAATCTATGGCTAATAGTTCTGAATCTCCCCATGAAAATTCTGTTTATACTTGCCTGGTACTCATGATAGACCCCTAATTATTTTGTATCTTTTTATATAAATATTTTACAGATTACAAAGTATTCATTATGTGAGCTGGTCTGTGATTATAAGAATAATTGTTATAAAATTTAGTAATGCATACAAAATTTTTAAATGTAATTCCACAATTAGTGTATTAAGTTACATTTTATTTAGTTAGAACACTTCATTTTGTTTTTAGTTGGAGAACTCTATCACTCTTTTGTTATTTTTTCTTTTCACTTTTTATAATTCACATAAGTAAATGTATTGAGTCAATTTGTTCAGATAAGTACTAGGGAAGCTTGATAAGTCGTGAGGATGTTTTTATATTTAAATGTAGCAAACGTACATAACAGTTCTTACTAACAGATGTTCCATAATAAGCTGTAAGTATTCCTGCTAAAGTTAGTTTGTAACTTCAATTCAGAGATGAAAAATATCAGTTGTGAAGAAATAAAATTGATTCTTCATGTGGAGAGGACATATTTTCCAGGCCACAATGCTGAATCCTGCTGAATTTAAAGAGAAGTTCTGCATCTTTTATTTCTTAATTATCTTCAGATTTGTCTGTATTATGTGTATCCCACCTATGTATGCAGCACAGCCCTTCTCCTTTTTCTGTGTTATGGCTTCAGTTTTCTCACTGTTGTCTTAATGCCATTTCATTTCACATGATGCCTTGTAAATTTTGATGAGAACGTTCGTTTTTTGTTTTTGTTTTTTTTTTTTTGAGATGGAGTCTCGCCCTTTCGCCCAGGCTGGAGTGCAGTGGTGCAACGTGGGCTCACTGCAACCTCTGCCTTCCAGGTGAAAGCACTTATCCTGCCTCAGCCTCCTGAGTAGCTGGGATTACAGGCACCCACCACTATGCCGGGCTAATTTTTGTAATTTTAGTAGAGATGGGGTTTCGCCATGTTGGCCAGGCTAGTCTCGAACTCCTGACCTCAGGTGATCTGCCCGCCTTGGCCTCCCAAAGTGCTGGGATAACAGGCTTGAGCCACCACACCAGGCCTATCTCGCAGGTTTTTAAGACTTTTCATGCTTCTTTAAACTTTCTACTCTTCATGTTGGACAATTTCTATGGCTCTATTTTCAAGTTTCTTTTTTTTTAATCTGCTGATACGCTCGATAGTAATTTTTTTTTTCCCCTGAGACATAATTTCACTCTTACTGCCCAGGCTGGAGTGCAGTGGAGTGATCTCAGCTCACTGCAACCTCCACCTCCTGGGTTCAAGCGATTATCATGCCTCAGCTTCCCCAGTAGCTGCGATTACAGGCACCCACCACCATACCCAGCTAATTTTTTGTAATTTTAGGAGAGACAGGGTTTCATCATGTTGGCCAGGCTAGTCTCGAACTCCTGACCTCAGGTGATCCACCCACCACGGCCTCCCAAAGTGCTGGGATTACAGGTGTGAGCCACCACGCCTGGCAATAGTAATTTTTTTTTTTTTTTTTTTTGAGATGGAGTCTCACTCTGTCACCCAGGCTGGAGTGCAGTGGCATGATCTTGGCTCACTGCCAGCTCCACCTCCTGGGTTCACGCCATTCTCCTGCCTCAGCCTCCTGAGTAGCTGGGACTGCAGATACCTGCCACCATGCCTGGCTAATTTTTTGTATTTTTTAGTAGAGACGGGGTTTCACCGTGTTAGCCAGGATGGTCTCGATCTCCTGACCTCGTGATTCACCCGCCTCGACCTCCCAAAGTGCTGGGATTACAAGAGCGAGCCACCGCGCCTGGCCAGTAATTTTTTTAGAGTTCATCATTTACTTGGTTCTTTTCTATAATTTTTATTTCTCTGCTGAGGTTCCACATTTGTTTATTCACTATGTGTGGGGAAAAGAAACAGAGATCAGCCTGTTACTGTGTCTATATAGAAAGAAGTAGACATAAGAGACTCCATTTTGTTCTGTATTTGAGATGCTGTTAATCTGTGACCCTACCCCCAACCTTGTCCTTGCAAGAGACATGTGCTGCGGTGACTCAAGGTTTAATGGATTTTGGGCTGTGCAGGATGTGTCTTTGTTAAACAAGTGCCTGAAGGCAGCTTGCTGGTTAAAAGTCATCACCATTCTCTTAATTTCAACTACCCAGGGACACGTACACGGCCAAAGGTCGCAGGGACCTCTGCCTAGGAAAGCTAGGTATTGTCCAAGGTTTCTCCCCATGTGATAGGCTGAAATAATGCTAAAAGGTTTATGGAGATGTTTGCATATGCATCTCAAGGCACAGCATTTTCCTTTAAACTTATTCATGTCACAGAGGTTTTTGTTCATATGTCTTACTGCCGATTTCCTCCCTACAATGATCCTATTGTCCTGCCACTCCCTTATCTTTAAGATGGTAAAGATAATTATCAATAAATACTAAG